TTTGGTGACAATTTTGACATGTACAAAGTCTGTGCAGCTGTCAAATGACGTCACGTTGCTTTTATTCTGTTATTTTATGATCTACATGTTAATCCCAAAAAATAATTAAGTTTTAAACGACAAAGTTTTTTTTTATATTTACCTCTTTAACTGTGTATAGACAAAAGCGAGAACGCAATATCAGTCGAAGATGAGGAAAATGCCTAAAATACTGATATTATTATCAGCTTACAGTATTATTTCCAGAACATCTTTAAAATTTTATAATCCTGTCTGGTGTTTTATAATAAAATGATGTATTCTCTAACGCTTCAAATGGTGCCACTTAGTCATTTGAAAGATTCTGTACTTATTTGTCTAAATAAAAACTCCACTGGCAACAATTACTTACGTCAGTCTGGTTTATTTTAATCAATTACTGTCTGGATTATCATAAGTTAGTAATAAATAGTACTTTTAGACAAGCAATTTTGTCCTAAGTGCTACGTAGAGTACTAAAAAAAGGTATGTAAAGCCCTTTTCTAATACGTGTCAAAACTCTCCTCGGGTCGTCACTCCACCGGGGTTTGCGGCGCGGTGGTGTATCAGGATTGAATTGACTAAAACCACACATGCGCCACTATGCGCTTGAAATAGAAGGGGTCCAGGAACTGCTGGTTTTAAGACCTCCGGACCATCTCTAAGGCCACTGCATTAAACTAAAGCTAAAGTAAAAGCAATATTTGTTAATGGTCGTTTTTGGGTTACAAGCACAAAAATTTAAAAAAAAAATAGTTAGGGTCTCGTTTTACTTCAAAAAAAAAGAATGTTTAAAAAAAGTGTTGTTTAAAAATATAATTCAGTTTAAGGTTAGTATGTGCATAAATAAATACGGGTAAGTTCCTTAATTTAACATTTAACTTTAGGAACTATTACATCTGGTGATAAAAAATTATCTACTTGAGTGAATTTCTGGGCCCTGTTTGAGGAGGTCCTCGAGCTTATCAACCTCACTTGGACACATTATGTGAGGTCACGTCCCCCCGAGCTACTGCAGTGTGGAGCCATAACTTTAATTAAAATACGTGTTGTGAGCGTCTTCTTGTTCAAGAGTGGCATTCACTATTAACTGTTTGAATTAACTGGATTTGGAAATATATTTTTATTTCGAATTATAGACAAAGGCCGGCAACGAAGTTGTGACTGCTAAATTGCAGGTGTCCATCAGATCAGCCAGTTTATTAACCATATAACTTTACGGTATGATACTTAAAAGAAGAGCAGCTATTCATTAAATTAAATCATTTTTTAAATATATTGTTATTCAAAGGACAAATTGTTATAATTCACGTTTGATAAAAGTAGTGACATGAAATCTGGGCCACAATTCTGCTATTTTAATATTGTTTTAATAGACTGTCGATGGAATGTCATCGGAATAGTTTTGAACTTTTCTTATTCTACTAACTATGTAGGACCGATGGCAGAATTGAGTCAATTCTGCTATTTTATGTTAACGTGTTAATCAGTGACAAGACATCGGGAGGCCATCGGTAAAATAGCAGAATTGAGGCCCTGTTGTTTTGATGACGAAACTATTGAGCCGTGTAACAGACAAATTATGCAACTTACTAAAAGTTAATCGAGCGAGCATCGCATTGTGTTGGACGAAGGTGGGGCTTTAAACTATTGTGACCAAATAAATATATTTATATGCCATACATTTGTACAGTATAAGTAATATTCTTGAACATTCTTGATGTTTTAGCTTGTATACACTCACGCTTCTTTCCCGTCCGAGGTAGGCACAGAGAACCTTTTTTTTCTGTGCGGAAATCCCCTCGGATACCACGGTAGGTGGCAATGTCGGACTCGAACCGACTAAAACCGCACGCCGTCTCAGTAACCAGCAGTCGGGGAACCAGGTCCACCCTAGAAAGGCAATCCCTGGTGCCCCGACGTACCTCGGGCAATCTATGGCGGGTAGACGACCCCCCTGTGTGGGAACCCCTATGTGGGAACCCCTGTGTTCCCTCTGTGCTCCCGGGACATACAAGCTCGCGTCTTTTCCTCATTCTAGCCTACTATTTAGTCATTTTGAATTTTTCCATTACAGGACAAAGAATTGTGTGATGAACGCAATCATTTGTTCTGTATCTAAGTGTAATTTATCTCTAATATATATTTAGAAATATATAAGTATATTTATCAGTAATTATCATAGTACAGGCTCTGTCGAGTTAGAAATCAGACATAAATGTCTGAGTTTTATGATGTTTTTATTCTCATTATTTTTTAATTGTGATTACGGATGGCGTAGTTGTTTAAGAGGTCGCTGCGCCGCTCAATACTACGCTGAGTGTTGTGGGTCCGATCCCCACATGGGACGACACTTTGTGTGATCCACAAATTGTTGTTCTGAGTCTGGATTTTCCTTGTATCCGTTACATGCATGTTTGTAAAGTTCCCCGCGACACAGAATATATTCCTAATGCGGGAGTTGTCTTTAAAAAAATAATAATTGGTATCTGACGTGTTCTGGTATCTCTAACTGTCACTCAACAATATTGATCTCACAGATTTCAAGAGTGTTCTTTTCCAATCTTATCAGAACTGAAAACCTTTGATAAACTATATAGGAAACATAATTTTATTAATCCCTAAGACCACATTTTGGGTATAACACAATTTGGCAAAGCAAACTGCGTAATTTTAATACATAATCTAAAGCACGCAAGCGTTAGATACTAATTATTTAGTAACATAATACTACGGCCAAACCCACCCGCATTGGCAACAAAACAGACCATATTTTACCCCACATAACCTATAGATATGCAACCACTGTGCCCGCGGGACGCGCCGCCTCTAATCCAGGTACATTAAAAGCTTTTATCTTTTATAATAAACAGACTTCGACTGGTTTCTTGAGATTGGTGTAAGTAGCTAGATTACGAGAGATGATTGGTTAATGTTTCCGATACTTGATGTAGATTATTTTGTATAGAAATCAAGAGATTTATGGGCCACGGCCTCACAGGAAAGCAATTACAACGTTGTGACTCTTGAAGGTACCTTTTCTTTATTAATTCTCTGTATTACAATCAAATTCCAACACTGTGCAAAGAACACGAGTTAATCTACAAAACAATGTAATGAGTCTCTAAAAAACCGTCGTAACATTCCAAAACGGACTCCAAATAGTGAAAAGTACGTTCCATTCGGATAAACACTGCTACTTTGCTTAATACAGTGGGAATCAGGTCACTGGGTATAACTAGGGGTAATATAGGGAGGGTTGGGGGATGATAATCAACCGATATTAACGGCCGCTCAAGATACTCGCACATTTTTATTCTGATGATCTGTTTAAGGGGTGGTCTCGAAACCGCGACTCAAAGCCGCGATTTTTTCCAATTGTTATTAGTAGTAAAGTCACTAAGTTATTTGAAAACGAAGTTTAGAAGTCTGTTAAGGCCTGGAAAACTATTTTCAATATAAATAATCTGGCAAACAAAAAAGAAACAGTTACATATACATGTGAACATTTGCAACACTAATGTCGCTCGCGTTTTGTCTCATAGAACTCTTATGAATCTACCAACGTTACTAACCTGGTAGCTATGGCTAACCTTTCTTTATGAAGAGTTGAAACTACATGATTTGGTAGTTCTAACATAAATCGAAAACAACTATGACCTTTCGTCTTCTTAAAATTTAACGTGCTTTAGAACAAATTAAAAAGCCGTGTGGTGTCGAGGGACACCCGATAGGAACGAAGTTGTAACGATCGAGTAAAACTGATTCGGCACATTTTAATTACAACGCCATCTATGAAAGCGGCTATTACCTACATATTTTTCAGTTGTCTAATCTCTATCTAATCTAATATAAAATAAAATATCTCTAATCTAATTTGTCATTTGCAGTAAATACGTACGTATGTACTTAGTAAAATAAACAAAAGTAAAAAATTTAACTAAGCTGCGATTAATTTTACATAAATTGAAATAGAAATTTATGATATTCTAGTAGCGTAAGTGTTTTTAATTTCATAAACTTTATGAAAAATCGCATCAGTGGAACTCAACAGTATGGCGGACGACAATCGACAACATTATCCGGCTGCTATTTGCATACATTAGCCGACTGCTTGGCTAATAAAAACATTGTCAGTTGCCAAAGTTGTAGAACTAACCCCACCCCCTACCGTCCTGTCATTTATTTAAGGTTAAAAACTGTTAGGGTCGTTTATTAAATTTTATTACATTAAAGAAAGCGCTAGTCGACATTTTTTTATTTCTACAAATGATAATTCTGAGTCTTAATTACGTGAGATTGAACGTCCGAAGATTAGACTACGCAGGACAACAGCACTGCAGGGAGAAGGAAAACTTGTCACAAACTCTATACCAACCCGTCTGGCCAGCGTGGTGTAGTAGGCTAAAACCTCCTTTCTAAGGATAGGCCTAGATCTAGCAGTGGACTATTAAAGGCTGTTGATGTCGAGTTGAAGTGAACGTCAGAAGTTTAGCCTCATAACTAATTAAACAAAATGTCTAAAAATCGTTTTTTACGTAATTCATAAAAAAATCTAATACAGATAACTAAAATAAGAGTAATAAAAACTATTCAATAAAAGCTAAAGTTACTTTTAATTCGTTTAAAACGCGTTAAACCTACTAAACAAAGACTAGGTTGTGTTTTTTCTCATTTTACTACTTGTACTAGAATATAAATATAGAAAAGACAGTTTTCTCACAAACTATTATGTATTTGTTTGCAATTTGTACAGCATAACATAATAACCGATATTGATTTAAACCACACGGAAGTTATTTTCTCATAACTTAATGTACGCGGGATCTTCAGCATGTTTATTTTCAGGAATTAGTTTACGATATTTCGACACTGTTGCAAGCGCCATGATCACGGATCAGGTAAATATCCCGTTTATAATAAATTATCAAACAAAATAACCTATGCATGTATAATAAATAAAATATATGTAATTTACAGAGATGGCTGTAAAGTTGTCCGCAAATGCGGCGAATAAAACGCAACGCAAATTAAATATAAGTGTCCACGATCCGGCCATCGCACTGGTGGTACTCAGGCATTGGCTTCTTGCGGATCAGACACAGGTGAACGGGTCTTACCGCCGCAATAATGGCATGCCCAGCGCTCGGTTGCCCAAGTCGCTCCTTCCACTCCTCTACGAGGACCCGGTGGAGTTGGGATTTCTGGTCCGCGATTTCTCGAGTCTCAGGACTCCGAACCAACTCCCGCGCCTTCTTTCACCACTGATACAGAGCTGCAAGGGCTCTCGCCTCCTGGTCCCACGGTGGAGTTCCGGCCAGGAGACTCGCCGCCTCAAATCTACCCTCTACCCCCTTATGACCCTGATGGCCAGCACTTGCTGCGGTAGTCGCAGTAGTGTGACGTTGCTGGCCTTAAGGGCCCCCACCCATACTGGGGCCACATAAAGGGTCATGGGCCACACAATGCGTAGAGTCTCCTGCAAGAGTCATCCGCGTTGCTCCAACCAACTTGGGGACCAGACGTCGGAAATGATGTCCAAAGTCACATCGGCCATCGAGGACGAGCCCCAGATACCTTATCGAGGGCTGGCTCCCTCAAGTGACTTCCTCCGAGGCCCATGAAAGAACAAGGCCTCGGATTTGTGCAGAGCCACTTCGAGACCCAGCCGCCGGATCCGCTCAACGACTTGGGCAACGCCGGCTGTGGCCCTCAGGGTTGCCACACGGTGCGTCTTGCCGCACGCCGTCACGAGTGTGTCGTCCGCGTCGCACGTGACGGCGACCCCATCCAAGAAGGCACCACGAAGCTCCCAGTTGTAGCCAATGTTCCACAAGAGTGACTCTGACACCGACCCCTATGGAACACCACACGACATTTCACGTCTACCGTGACCGGTCCTACTTGGGTAGACGACGGCTCTCTCCGACAAATATGCCCCACCTATGCGGCGGAGGTAAAGAGGCACTTCGTGATACACGAGTGCCTCCCTGATTCAACTCCAATGCAAAAGTGTCGAACGCGAACAACACTTCGCCCCGTGAAACTGCTTCTGTAACCGTACTGATTGTCCGCCAGATCCGGCCCCATTGACTTGCTACCAGGCCCTAATAAAATAGAATAATTCATAAACACGCTTAAAGTTGTAAATAAATCACAAGAATAGTAAAAAGAACTTGTCATAGCAGCGCACGCACACACGATCTATGCACTCTATAAATTACCCGAACATTATTTTGATTACCCCGAATTCCGGATTCCTGATTAACGACCCAGTTTGACTGATCGTTAAAGCGGCAAAAATAATAAAAAATAAATATATATTGTGAAACGTTGGCAACATTAACAGTGGCTGGACTAAATACTGTGATTATTTTACTTGGACTTGTTTATGCTCACCTTTATGTTGCGACATGTTGATTTTATGTTTCCAGAAGAATAGATCTAGATTTTGTTTAATATGTCTAAAACTACTAAACTATTTTTTAATGATATACATTTACTTTTTTAAGCCATAGACAATTTTAGAATGGTTTACAGAATATGGACTTCATCACTCACCAAAGAGATTTTAAGTAATCTGGTAGATGGAGGGAGTGTCAAAATCAATAATACAGGTTTTAAAAGTTTTCCGCTTGGTTCTTCTATAAAATAGAAAATATATAATAATATTTTTATGCGTTTTATTTCACACCTTTATTACACTAGTCATTGGTTTTATTTTTGCATAACTGATCGATATATTGAGGACTGCTCCATATGATTTGATTTTCCAAGGGTTTTTTTCTATTGTAGGTGTATTGAATAAAATATTTCTAATGCGTAGACAATTGGTTATAATAATGCTGTAATGTAATATGTATTTTGGTGCCTTTAAGAAATGTTTAAATTGCAGTTTTCTAAACCAAAAACATATAAAGTTTGTTTTTATGAAGTATTTATAGTGAGATACTACTTTGTTCCTCTAACAAACACTACAGGAATCAATAAACAATGATTTATTTTTAAATATTCCATGTGTTAAAAAAAAACGGCTGTCATCAAATCATCAAAAGACGCGCAGCAAAGTGTTAATTAAAAAATGTCACATCTGTTGTAATGTTTCAACAGACGTGGACTGACAGTGAAAGTAATTTCATTGTTGAGTTTATTATTAAAATCTAAAATAATAATAATATAATTTATGTTAAACTTTGTAAATAATGCTTTGAATTCTTGAAACATTAACTCAAATATATATGCATATATATATATATATATATATATTTAGACTTAGATAGGTAACAAAATAATTGTTTATCAATAATTTTTTATAGGTCTAATGAATTTTAATTTACATTTACTTCTTATCTTATCTATCTATCTTATCTATAAAAAGACAACTCCCGCACTAGGAATAAATCCTGTGTCGCGGGGGATTTTACAAACATACCTACATGAAACGGACACAAAGTACACCCAGACTCAGAACAACAATTTGTGGATCACACAGTGTCGTCCCATGTGGGGTTTGGACCCACAACACTCGGCGTAGTAGGACCTGCGGCGTCGGCGCGGCGACCGCTTAAAAAACTACGCCATCCGTGCAGTCAAGAGACAGGCAGTTAAACTCAAGACACCGGTACAAACCAAAGACAACGCTTTTTAAAAGTTCGATGCCAATTTCAGTTGTAGTTGTAAACTTTTTTTTATTCATCTATACAAATAAATAATATTGGAGTGGAGATTTATTTGTTTGTAATATTAAAATAACCGATTTTTACTAAATGCATATATTATGTATGTTTACACGGTACATAAGCCAAAATAACATTTTTTACAATTTTTGTCTGTCTGTCTGTCTGTTTGTTCCGGGTAATCTCTGGAACGGCTTCACCGATTTCGACGGGACTTTCACTGGCAGATAGCTGATGATATAAGGAGTAACTTAGGCTACTTTTTTTAGACTAGCTTCGCCCCGCGGCGTTGCCCGCGGTTATAACAACAAACGCGGGTCTCAGCTAGTCATATATATAATAATTCAGTTTCATGTCTTCTATGGTAGATCTTGTATAAAAATTAAGTCATCCATTTTATGTTGGAAAAATTGGTTTAACCTAAACGTGTGACAGTAGTTCAAGTCTTTGAAGCTTATTTGTAGTAAATATATTCTTAAAAACTAAGACTCACCTGAAAAAATAGGCAAAAACACACCCATTGGTAATATTTGTAGGTTTTTCTGTCGCTCATATCTTCTTCCCCTTTCTCCCTGCTGTTGCCAATGCCTGGGTACGGCACCTCGACACCCACTTTCTTGTAGAAGAAACTTTTGAGCGTGTACGTCGAGTGGATCCAGCAGTAGGTATTGAGGACGTCCTCTGGTATGTCCTTAGTGTGTATGCAGTCTATAGGGTTCCCTACGTACTGCCTCGTCGTCACGATCAGGCTGAACGAGATCAGTAGAATAACAGTGATTGAGTAGTGCAACCTGAATACCGGTGAATCGATATGTACATAGTTCACTTTAATAAGATTCTTCAATCCACGAAAAACGTCTAACATCTTAAACGTTTGACCTTATCGTCCACGTGTATGTGTCCAGTAACATTATTTATTGTTTCGAAGCACCAATTTTCACTATTTATTACGTAAGGCACTATTTTTTTTGGCAGTGTTACAGCTCGAGTAAGTCCGCGGCATCACGGTTGTTTATTTTTTCACTATTTTCTTCTTTCAAGTTGGTGTAACTTTTTTGGTATTTTTATGAACTTGAGCAGTGACAACGCTTGGCTCATGATTTCTACGTTTCATGGTACGTTGAATCAGTGTCGGCGCGCACTGCCCATGGTAATGCCCTCGCCAGTCATGTAGTCTCGTCAATAATGACGCCGAGGCTGCGTAACCATTGGAAAATTAATCTTTAGAGGAATTAACGTAAACTAGATTAGCAGGTCAGATGCTCACGCACAGATTTATGAGATCACACGTCGTCGTCCGAAACGGAGCACCCATACGTGTTGTATACCGTACGGTAATAGCTGGAGAACTGATGAAAAATGATTAAATTATGTGCTTAAATAGAAGAGGTGTAATCCCTATAGTTTATGTTATGATATGACTCAATTTGTGGATTGAGTATAAGAGAGGTGCTTACAAGAATGAGTAATAGCAATATGGTTTAATAGTTAAATATATGCCAGCGTTTAGACGTTTATCGGCGTTGGTTATAGCCAAGGAAATCGCATGTTATACTCGTATGTACTGATCTAATTCCTCAAAGAAGGTTACTTCCAATACTTTTTGAACTACAATGACAATCTTTTCACTGCCTACTGTGCGTTTCTCAGAAGTCTTTTTTATGTGAAACGATTTACGAGCAACGCACGTTTCAAGGCCTGGTTTGTCACAAAGTGTTCGGCAGATCTGTTTGTGTTACATGATAATATTTACACGTAACTTTTTAAGAGTTCCTTTGAAATATTATATTTAGTATTTTGATGATTCAGCTCACGGAAAAGACAAATATTTCCCGTGTGTAATAGATTTTTAATTTGTTGCTTCATGTTAGAATTGAAAAGCAAACATTTCATAGTTTTTCTATATGATTTATTTGCCTATCTGCTAAATAGACAGAATTATAATGTCTGTCATCTTTTGTTCTGCCGTTTTTAACACGAACTGTCATAAATATAAACAGTTGCGCTTAAATTAGATTATCAAAATTACTGACAGCAAAATGGGCGCCAAAATTTATGTCAGACATTTTTTTTTTTCCTGTCTGAAATAGTTGACTAAACTATTTATTTATAATCTGTGTTGGTCTTTATGATATGTATATTTAGCTGAATGCAATATCCATTATAGAAAATAGATTTCGTTGAGAGAACAAAGCGATTCTCAATATGCTTAAAAGCTTTACAAGAACACATCAAAGCATTAGATAGCTCTACTGTTGGAAGTGCTATTTATTGATTTCTTAGTAACGTTGATGGTATAGTTATTTTAATAGAAATATAAATTTATAGGAAATGAATTTATTTTACTAAAAATATCAATCATTCGGTTATTGAACTGAGTTTGTTCTTTTTATATGTTTGAGTATTACCTACAATAAGTCAACTATTAAAAATTACCTTGACTATCAAACTCAATGATTTCACTGTCCTAAAAAGATTAGTTAATTTTATTTGTCAAATTCGTTATAATTGTTGAAAAATTTTAATTTAACTTATTCCAAAATTTTGCGGCAAATGTTCTAAAATTAATTAAATATCTGTAAGAAATTATTTACGCATTAGAATTAAGTATGAAATTGCGTTGTATTAAATTATTAGTTTACTTTAACTAACCCGCTGTCAGTCTTCAATTTATGTAATTTTTATATTTGTTATAATAATATTATTTTACAGAAGTCATAAAATAATTTGCAATTAAAATTAATACAGTACAGATGGCTTTCAATCGTTCTAAACCCAATTAATCATCAGCTCATTAAAATCATTTAACGGTAAACAGCCGGCAATAATTAAATATGATTTATAGATTGCTAATCTGTTACATAAAATAATATTGCCATTATAAATAACGACACTCCTTTCTACCAGGGACATCTATTTGTCAAAATTAAGTGGTAGAAATCGTTGAATTTTATAGGGTTACGAGAGTTTTTGGCGGAAATCGTAAATTATGCATCTCACGCGGCCTTAGCAGGTTGGCAAAGAGAATTTCGTGCCAAGTGGTACGAATGTGCTGGCTTAAATATTTCTCATTTCTCCAGCGTTAGACCTTTTTGTTTGAACTGAGTTGTGAAAACTGCTAAATGACATATCGCTTTGGTGGAATACTGTTTTTCTGTTGTTTTGTATTCTTGTGAAATTCAAAAGTTGTAATGGCATCAAGTGCCTTTAGCTTTTAGAATTTAAAAGATTAATGCATTTAGAAGAAAAATATCTAAATGTTAGTCTCATATTTAATTACTAGAATTATGTTTATACATGTATTTATATTATATTTATATATGTATTGTAAGTCCGTGTGGTGACGGATTAAGAATACGGAAGGTCACCATCCCTATGCATCATATGGGTGTCGTAAGAGCCGACTAAGGGAGCAAACTATGCAGGACAACAACACTTCAAAGAGATGGAAAACTAGAAACATACCCTATATCAACCCGTCTGGCTAGCGTGGTATAGTAGACCAAAACCTTTCTGAGGAGAGGTCTATGTCCAGCAGTGGACTGTTATAGGCTGTTGATGATTATGATGATGATGGTAGGTACAATATTGACAAAAGCTTTTCTTTCGTTTTTATTGTGTTATGCATAAACACAGCTTAAGTAGACGATGTTTTTTATGTCAAGTATCAGATTCAGGTCAAGAAGATAAGCTAGAAGGATTAACACGAATCCTGTTTCTTTATGTTTATGTTTACACTCTCTGATAAAATTAACTCGCTGATACGTATATTAAACGTAAAAGTAATACCTAACTGAAAGTGTTTACTTTCGGCAAAGTAAACTTTAGTTGCGGTGACATTATGTGTGTTGAACTATATATATTTCTTTATATATTAGAATTTGAAAGAAAGAAAGAAATTACCATTTATTTCTTGTTTACTGTTAGGTACATAACCATGGGTACAAAGATTAAATCAGAAAAAAAAATCAACGTAAACCCTTCATTCAGTTATTTAAATTTAGAACTTTAGGACTATTGTAATACGAAACACCGTATAGTCCTAAAGTTATAGATTTTTTTACGAGAATATCAGCCATTCTACGTTTTATTATTAAAGAGCTTCGAAGAACAGAACCCGAACAGAATATTGGATGATTGATCCAATATAATTATCTTGTGTTAATTTTCCTTCTTCCTTTGTACCTCCTGATCGAGATTAAGATCTAAGAACCTAAACCTGACTTTAGCAAGGCGGACGACCACATAAAAGATCCCAAATAAAATTGGAAGTTCACTGAGAGATGGTGACATTTCATACACAAATGAGTAAACACCAATCACCGCGAACACCGCATAAAATGACTATCGTAAATCTAAAGTAATCGTAAAGTTTTCAAAGTTAAAAGTCGCCTTAAAATTAAATGGTGTTAACAGACACCATTTAATTTTAATAAAAAAAAACTAAAATAAGTTCTATTTACTTCCTTAGTAGATTTATATAGAAGGTTTATTAATGAAAGTATCTTAGTGTAACAAAATAAATTTATAGAACTATTAAAACAGACAAATTAGATTTCAAATATTACATACTTTACCACCATTATTATATATTTTCACATCGCTTATTTGATGTGTGTAATTAACCACAATATATTGGCGCATAACCGAGAATTTTAAACTACTGCTTTTAAGTGGGCAACCCTAACCACGTCTGCGCATTAACGACCTTCTTAATTTATGGTCAGCTCTTCAAAGGGGTCGGCCGTCTGTGCCATATTTTTTTTTAATTTTCATCTGTCATACACATATACACCGTATGTTTTGTATGATGAAGGATCTTCGTATTTAAACACCGTAAAGGAATTTAACATGAACTGTTATTGCACAGAGTTTAGTACCATGACTGGTCAAATTGTATCATTATTATTATCATTAACATCGACAGCTTTTAATAGTCTACTGCTGGACGTAGGCCGCTCCTTAGAAAGGCAGTTTTGGCCTAATGTACCACACTTTTTTTTTTCTTTTTTTTTCTGTGCGGAAATCCCCTCGGATACCACCTTTATAGAATTTGGGTTGGTATAGAATTTGTATCAAGTTTTCTTTCTCTTTGCAGTGCTGCGTAGTTTGCTCCCTTAGTCGGCTCTTACGACACCCACGGGATGAATAGAGGTGATGAAATTCCGTATTCTTAATACTTCACCACACAGACACTGTATACTGGATTCTTATAAGTTTTATGTAATTTTACGTAATTCTAAATTTGAAACACAAATTGTTTTACAAAATAAGCTTTTTCCAGTTTTCTTACATATAAAAATAAGAATTAAAAGCACACGGAAGCGTATCACGCTTCCGAGTGCCATATTTGTTTAAAAATTGGTATAAGGAATTTTCTTCAGGCATTAATATACCTATAGATGTACTATAGCCCAAAACTATGAGAGGAGGTGGCACTCAAACTGTGGCAACGTGTTTGCATCTGTTAAATGATAAATTAAATTTATTTCTGTAAGTAAATCTTTTCAGATATTTTTAGAAGTCGGGCTTAACAGCTAAGTGGCGCCGGCTTTTCCCAAATCCATCTTCTCTGGGAAGTAACGTAAACAAACCACAGAGATGTCTTTTTTTTTAGTCCGTGAACAATGTTAAAGAATACTATGCGAGTACGGTATAGGGTCTGGGTTAGCCTTTTGAAGGAAGGACCATAATTTTGTCTGCCTGTCCAACCAGACAGCAATTAAATTAACATAGTTGTGTAAAGAACGATGGTGTATTTACATAAATGTAACAGTGTATGTCTGTCTGTATGTTACTTCTTCAAAACCACTGAACCGATTAAAATAAAATGTAGTGTGGCATTAGTTATAAAAAAAAGTCAAG